TCACCTCTCTCTCTCTCTCTCTCTCTCTCTCTCTCTCTCTCTCTCTCTCTCACGGACATACAAGACGTAATGCTGTATCAACCCACGGAGTGTGACGTCTGCTCTATCAACCATGACGTCATGTCGTATCGCCCACTGGAGAGTCTATACAGATGTATGTTAAAATACTGGCATACTTTGACACTGCTTGATTTATTTGTTAATTGGGTGGTGCTTGGGGTTCAAGTAGCGGTTACATCTCAGAGCTGGTAATTCCCAACCAGGGGTACTGTATGTGTACCCTAGGGGGTACTTAAGGGGGTTCCCGGGGGTACTTGGAAAGAATTCCCATTTTGGTAATAAAAGAGAAAACGAAAACATTACAATAACCAACCAATTACTGATAACTTATAATTGTGCAAGTTTGGTCAATTTGTTTGCATAACTTATATAACAAGTAACTTTAATAGTATTAATGATAATGCTATATAATATCCAGTATAATATGAGTTGAAACAAACAAATTTGACAACCCCCAGATACAATAAGTGCATGTCCTCAAAGATTTTTTTTTTTTTGTATTATATAGAGCAAAATGAGCTGTGCCATTAGTGTTCTTTGTTATTTCATTTTAGTTGAAACTACATGCATTGAAATCAGAAGTTGGCCAATCATAATTAGCCTATAACTTTTCATAATAGACAGAGTTATTATTATGAGATAAAAGCTGAAATTATGAGATATTAAGTCATCGTCATGAAATATAATCAAAATTGTGATATAAAAAGTCAATTGTGAAAAAATTCAAAATTATGAAATAAAGTCATAATTATGACACAAAGTTGAAATTATGGGATAAAAAGTCAAAATTATGGCAAAGTTAAATTAAGTGGTAATTATTGGATAAAGTCAAGACTTTTTATGTCCCAATTATGATTTTTTTTTTTTTTATGTGACAGAAATGGACTTTCATTAAAGATCAGCCAAATGGCAAAAAAGCTACAAATTGTGAACAAATTTTATATTTGAAATAACTTATACATTGGTAAATAAATGTTACATATTGTATAATAAAGACTTATCAGAAAGTCACGATTCATTACTCCAAGCAGCAATTAGAAAAGCATTTTGTCATCTGTATTAAGAACAACAACAACAAAGTATGCACAAAGGGTATAATAAAACAGCAATATCAGGTATAAAAATATATTTTACAAACATCTGATGCCTATTTTCAAAATGTCTTCACATTTGGTAGTAACATTTTAAATCTGCTCAGGCTACTATCGATATTTGAAGCTACACACCTCAACTCACACAGTTTGATATTTGACACACTCGTGTATCTGTGTGCATTTGGGTATAAAGAGCACCCCACATCCTTCACATAGTCTTCAAATAAAAGAGAAGATATATGGACAAAAAAAAAAAACATTAAACCATTTTGAATCATGATCCAATTATATATTAATCAAAGTTAAGGACAATATATAGAAATTTCTCTTATGTTTTGTGTCCTCCCCAAAGGTGCCACAATCCTAAATGTGAATTAATCTGCTGATGGAAACTGTGGCTATGAGTATGATAAATTGTTTTGAGCACTATATGTAGTTATTTGTTAATACCAAAAATCACTGTGAAGGTGGAAAGTCCTTGAATCTGTCCAGTTACGGCCCCGCTTGCATGCCGGCAGAAATAAATACTCAAGAATTTAGTGTACAACATGAGAAATATCCAAACTGAATTCATCCCATTTCCAGCCAGGTATTGGAAGGATGGGGTTTCTAGCCAAGAAATATCCATGGGCTCAACTCACTGAGAAGGTTCTCAAAAGTGAGATGCGACGGGCCAAGCAGGGTTGAGGCATCACAGGGGTCCCTCTGGCTTTTTCTCTAAGCTGTACTCTCTGGTCCGGTGCATTTTCCAGCCAATAAATGCCAGGAGTGCAATGCCTAATGTCTTATAGCCCACCTGAAGTCCTAGATACCTGAAACAAGTCATCATGATCATCATCAGTGCTACCAAAGAGTCTATTAACATTAATTAGCATAGTTTGCTTTCTGTTTTTTTTAGCCTTGTTTGACTGAATATATTAAGTGTGTATGTTTGTTTAAACTCAAAATCTACCTTTTTTTTTTGACACAAATGTACCTCCGTAATGCATTTAGGTCAAAAGAGAACATATTCTTACCTGTTTCTAAGGAGGTTGTTGTCATAGTAACCACATCCTTGCTTTTTTCCACAAGCAATTTTCCACCAGATACATGTGGAGTCTATGGTGATCCCGAACAGAGCTGGAGCTGGCAGCCAGGCTAAGCAAAGAGAGAGAGAAAGAATTTTACTACAAATGTAAACAAATATATAACTATTCACTAAAATACCAAAAAAAGCATAGATAGTTTGTAATAATATTCTTAGATTTAGGAACTGTAACAGAGATAAATTGATTGTTGTTGAATCACCAGAAGGGGGCGCTACAGTACTTACAGTATTGCAATTACATTTGCACAATTTAGAAAGTGTTTTTTTTTTCTTTTTCCAGGAAAGTGTTCTCATCTGAGAATCATTTACACTGTGGTTTACATTGACCAGTGTTCTCTATTTATTTCTGTGTATTATCAACTATCTTGTTTTGAGGATCTTTCAGGATAAATCTGATGTTTCTCTGTACACAAACTGCAGTCTGCGCTTATAATTTAAATTGCATTTCAGACTTAATTAGTTATTATTCAACTAAGAATGAATAAAAGAATAAAATTAATAAAAGTTGTTTTGGTATTTTACTTACTCAGAAGCCGCAGAAGCAGAAACTGAACCCCTATGGCAAAGGATTTCTCTTCTGGAGGAACTGACCTGTAAGTAAAGACATAATGAGTGAAATAAGATACAACAACTCTATCTCAAGATTTCTTACATTTGAAGTTCTCACACTAAATGCAGTGTTTTGGTGTTTGTATGTTGGCATGCAAGTGTGTTTCTCACCTGAGCACCATCATGTAGATGGGGTTGTGTGCTAGGCTGGCAATAAGTCCGGCCAGAGATATAAGGAGCATTACAGGCAGGAGATAGTGAGGGCAGGTGTTGGCACAAGGGCCAGGCTTGGCTGTGGCCAGACCAGGAATACACCGGCAGCTACTATAAATCTGTGTGTGGAGAGAGAATGGGTGTTATTATGCTATGACATTTTGAACAAGATTTTGGCATATATGAGTAGAACAAACAATTAGGCACCGAAAACTGATTGAATGAAAAATATTGGTGACCACAATTATTTCGAGTTAAGACACAAAAAAATATTTACAGGTCTGCTTAAGTCACAGAGAGCAGGAAACTAAAATAAAATAAAAATAAAGACTTAAAAATTAACTAATTTAAAATCCAATTAATTTTGATGTAAAAGGCATTTTATTAAACTACACGATATTAAACAAGTGATAGCGTGACACGTCAAATCCTTGAAAAGCTACACAAGGTAAAAGGAAATCTGATCCAGACTTCAATAAATACAGGTTCACATGTAACAAGGACAAACATGGTTTAAGAATAAGAAACCAATAATATTTCATAATAACATTTTTCTTCACTTTTGCACGGTTAATTATGGGCTAGCAAAACCAGTTGAGAAACCCTGCATTAGTGCTCACCTTCATTACAAACATCATTACAAGTGATAGCTATAAGGATATTATAATTATAAAGAGAACAAAAACTAACAGTGTTTCATTGATGCAGCTAATACTAACACTAAGGCTTTCCTTGAGCTCTATTGACTTCCACTGACACAGTGTCCTCGATTGCCTGTTTTGTTAAATTCAACAAGCAAGGGAGTCCAGACCCAAGTCTATTTCTCACTATAATTACCTTGTGGTATGATATGTGCTGTGTCATATAGAATAATTCATTATCAGCTGCTCCTGTAAGTCTCTTGCTGGGCAATTATACAGAAGCTTTAACACTCTAAGTTGTTCTGCGTCCCCAAAGCACTTCCTCCAGGAAGTATTACTAATTAGGGATTGATTGGACTCAACCCATTGATCGCTAACAGACCATGAACAGTCATTTGCTCAGTGTCGCTAGTACAGCAGAGACTCTATCCGGCTTCAGTAATGAGCTAAATAAAGGTCTAGATGGATAGATCTATGCAGTGGCCTTGCTAGAACTCTGGCTTGAGATAATGGTATGGAAACAAAAAATTCTGTTTTGGTTGTTAGATTTATTTACCTGGACTCTATAAGGGTTCTTGGGCTCCATGGTGAAGTTTGTGCACCCAGCATGGCAGGGTGAGATGTATTCAATGTTGTTTTCCCCACACACTGGGTTAAAGGTGCTGCTGGGACATGAGCAATTGGCACTACAGGACAGATGAGGCCTGCCGGGCAGAATAACACAATTTAGCCTCTACTAGCAGAATACAGAAACATTTTATCAATGGGTAATCTTAAAGTAGTAGTTTACTCAAAAATTGTGGCATTATTAACAGTCATGTCGTTCAAAACCTGATGATTTTTTTTTTTTCTTACATAGAACACAAAAAGAGAATTATTGACTAATATTTTTAATTTGATTTCACTTTTATTTAATATAAAAGTGAATGGAGTGGCTGTCAAGCTTCAAAATTACAAAACAAGCACCATAAATATATATCCCTGTATTCATCCTTAACTTGTTAATGAGAAATTGATGAAAAGGTCATTCTTTTCAGTCAGATCTTTTCAATGAATTGGTTGATTGAGTTCATAAAACTTGTCTGAATTATATGTTCATGAATCAGGTTGATCCAGCTCTCAAATTCAAATGACTGAATCAATGATCCAGTCATTTTAGGTAACATCTCACTGGACTGGAAGATTATCAGTCAATACTGAAAATTTCATATCACATAATGTTTTTGTATACCTTCAGAAGATTGGAATATAGCACAAAGGTGGTATGGACTACTGTTATTCTATTTTTTATGTTACTTTTAAGCTACTTTTTTACTTTTTTACAATCATTGTAA